AATCCCTTAGACCTCTTCTCAAGCCCAAATCCCATGAGTTATCAACAAACACTAAAGATGTCGCTTTTCTTTTGTTTTCAGACAAGGAGTAAATAAAAGGAAATCTATCTCCAAGGGAGTTTTCACCAACCCAAACATCTTCCCAAAACAAGACTTTATTTCCAACACAGACATCATATTTGAAATAAGGAAGCATAAGAGGCAAAATACCTTGAATAGCTTTCCAAGGAGAACACTGAGAAGCCCCAGGGTCGAGTATTGCATCCCAGTCGTTATCTGCCAATCCATGAATAACAATCACTCTAGACCAAAGTCAGTCTTGTTCTATTGGAGTCTCCAAATCCATTTCCCTAGCAAAGCCGTGTTTCTTAATCTTATATTTCCTAACCCAAGGCCTCCATCATCCCTACTCCTAGAAACTACCTCCCACTTCACTAAGTGATCCTTCTTAGTATCCCCTGGTTCCCACAAGAAATCCCTCATTATCTTCTCTAATTGGTTAGTTACTTTCATTGGTACTCTAAAGGTATATAAGAAATAAATTGGTAGGTTGGCTAAGGTTGACTTGATTAAGGTTATCCTACCCCCTAAAGTGATGTAATTCCTCTTCCAATTTGCTAACCTCTTGGAGAATCTTTCAATTACAGGGTACCAAAAACTCTCAACCATTGGATTCCCTCCCAGTGGTAGCCCCAAATATTGTAAAGGCCAGCCCCCCACTTCACACCCCAAAATCCTAGCTAGGGAATCCACCTCCTCTCCCCCTAAATTGAGCCCTGCCACACAACTTTTTCCCCAATTCACTTTAAGATTGGACTTCCTTTCAAATTGAGGCACCAAACTCTTTAAGTTTCGTAATTCCCCTTCCTCCCCATCACAAAGCAAGGTGATGTCATCTGCAAATTGTAAGTGTGTGACCACCACCTCCTCCCTACCAATCTTCCAACCTCTTATCAAATTGTTAGCATCGGCCCTCGAAATCATGGCACTCAACACATCAGCTACTAGGGTAAAGAGGAATGGGATAATGGATCTCCTTGCCTAATACCCCTCTTTGCAGGAAAGAAACCCCTAGCTACACCACACCATTCACCAATACTGAGAAATGACATGAAGAAATGCATCCCTTTACCCAACTGCACCATCTCTCCCMAAWCCCTCTYYGCTTGRGAACCTCTAGTAAAAAATCCCAGTCCACCATGTCATATGCCTTTTCAAGATCCAATTTGCAAACCAACCCCTTTTCCTTTCTCCTCTTCACCTCTACATATTCATTGGCAATAAGTATTTGATCTACAATTTGTCTTCCTTTTACAAAGGCCCCTTGATACGGTGAGATTAGAGACGGGAGGTCTTTTTTAATCTTAGCACTAGGACCTTAGAGATGATCTTATACATGCTTCCCACCAGGCTTATAGGTTTGAAATCCTTTGGTTGGAGAGCATCCTTTTTTTTAGGAACCAAGGCAGTAAAAGTTGCATTTGCTCCCGAGTTAAATTTGCCTCTCATAGAACTTTTCAAAAACCTCCAACAAATCCTCTTTAATTATCTCCCAACAATCTTGGTAGAAGGCCATCGAAAAACTATCAAGCCCAGGAGCTTTAGATTGATCCATGGAGAAGATTGCATTTCTCACTTCTTGGGCCTCAAATATTTTTTCCAAAGATTCCAATAAGGCACTATCTTCCACCCTCCACTCCAAGTCCTCTAAGCTCTCGCTAGGTCTCCCTGGTTTGTCATACACTAGTTTGAAGTGATTAACCAAAGTTTGAGCTATATCATCTTCCCTTGTCAGCAATTGCCCATCCCACTCCAATTTTGAAATAGAATTCTTCCTTCTCCTCCCATTTGCCAACGAATGAAAAAATCTTGTATTGATGTCCCCTTCCTTTAGCCATTTTCAATTCATGTTTCAAATTCCATCTTTCCACCCTACCCTCTTCCCCCAGCCTTCTTTCAGCTTCTAGCCCATCTAGCTCTTGCACTCTCTGATTGATTTCCACTTTCTTTTGCTCTAATCTACCAAAAACCTCTTTGTTCCAAATCTTGAGTCTAGCTTTCAAGAGTTGTAGTTTCTTGTAAATCCTATACCCCTTCCATCGGAATTCCACTTGGTCCACTTCCCACCATTCTTCTACCTTAGCTAGAAACTTTGGATGAAGTAACCACATGTTTTCAAACCTAAAAGGGCACGAGCCTCCATCTAGTCTTTCTTGAGACAACCTGATTGGGCAATGATATGAAATAGGTCTCGGCAATGCTGTAACACCTAAAATCCCCCATTCAGCTTCCCAAGCCACTGTAAAGAGGAACCTATCAAATCGACAACAGGTAGGGTTTTCTTGGAAGTTTGACCAGGTAAAATTTGCTTGCTGAAGAGGGAGGTCCTGCAATGCAAAATTCTCCACAAAGAGATTAAACTTTCTCATGCTAGATGTAATCCGATGACTGGGGTTATTGGATTCATTCAAGAATCTTATTACGTTGAAATCCCCACCCAAACACTAAGGTCCATCCCACAAACCCCTAACGGCTGCTAGTTCTTCCTAGAAACCTTCCCTTTTCCCTATAAGAGGTGGGACCATAGACATTAGTTAGCACCCAAGTCCACCCTTCTTCCTTTCTCTTCAATTTTATTGACACCGAGAAGTTCCCAATTAATTATTCTTCACACTCCAGTCTTCATTTCTCCACAAAGTAATAATTCCCCCTGAAGCTCCCCATGATTGTGCAAAGGCCCAACTCAAATTTCTTGTTGACCAGATGCTCCTAACTCAAAAGGGAGGCAAAGAGGTTGGAAAAACTGATGGGGACTTCTTATGGGAACTTGGGGAAGAGTAAAAAGATCACTTGATTCGGTGGGAGGTGGTGAGTAGAAGCAAAAATGAAGGAGGCCTAGGCTTAGGGAATGTGGTGAGTAAGAATGAAGCTCTTTTAGGTAAGTGGCTTTGGTGGTGGCCCTTGGAGAGGGAGAGGTTGTAGCATGAAGTAGTGAAGAGTATCCATGGCTGTTCTGAATCAGGTTGGAACGCGGAGGTATCCTGAAGGGCTTCGCTCACAACACCTTGGAAGGCTATTTATGGCATTCTCCCAAAGTTCCACAGATTTGTAAGGTATGGTGCTTGTTCTGGAAACTCCGTTCTTTTTTGGGAAGATATTTGGGTGAGCACTCAACCCCTAAAAGACTGCTTTCCTTCTCTCTATTCCATCTCCCTCTTTAAAAAGAAACCAATTTTAAAGAGGGTTTCTTTCCCCCTGGTTCGTCCTTTGGATTTAAACTGGAATTTTGGGTTTCAAAGGAGGGTTAAGGGATGAAGAACTTCTTTGTGTTTCAGAACTCTTTTTGCTTCTAGACTCGGTGTGCCTGGACCCCCCTAACCTGGACAAAAGGGTTTGGTCTCTAACCTCGGTTGGCCCCTTCACTTGTGCTTCTTTCTTTAAAGCCCTCTGCTCCATCCCTCC